AAAGAAAAAAGTAGAAACTCTTAGTTTATATTATTAAAAAGATCAACAAATTAAATTTTATGGGCTCAACTGTTAACCGTTATTTTATTCTGTTCAGATGAATGAATGGACCAATTAAATACATTTTACTTTCTTGGTTTTATTTAGCTTGAACTAGTTTTACTCTTCATTATATTAAACTTTTTCTTAGAAGTCATTATTAGCCTTATGATCACAGTAGTGTAACTTTATTAGCTCAATATTTCGCTGTTACATCGTCAGAGCAATCGACATACTACAAGTTCCCTATTCCAGTTAAATCTAAGTTGGAACAGTGAAGGTATAGGTCGTGATTTTTTATTTTTTTTTTTACATTTATAGATATGTCTCATAATAAACTCCAGTTTGCGTTAAACAATGTTAAGAATAATAATTCCAGTTGAAATATTTCTTGCGACATCTACCTTGATCTTTTTCTGCTCCTACTGGTATGAGAAATGACTAAAATATTTTACTTTAATTATTAAAGTATAAACTAAGCAAAATATTGATCCATCGTCAATCAGCTTGGGCTTGTAAATTTGATTTGGCTGTTGAAGTGATTAATAAGTATGTTTCGTATTTGAATAAATACAAAGTCTTTGTGTGTTCATAATTAATGGTAGAGAAACCAATTTTAAACCGTAGCTACTTAGCAGTTTTTCTTACAATGTTACATTCAAAGTGCTCATCAATGGCTACTCTCGTGAGTAATACGAACTATACGAAGAGCTCACGAGAGAGGCTGGTTTAAATGAGTCAGTCACACTTACTCTTAGTGAAGAACTGAGTCTGGAGACCGAAACACGAAAACTTTGAGATTATAAGTGAGCGTTCCACACTTTTTGTTCAAGGGAAAAGAATACTAATTTCTATTTTTACGAAAAGCAAGATAACGTAAAGCTTACTTATACACATGTTATAATTTAATAGTTGACAACGTTTTCCTGTTGAAGTAGGTTAGTCATCGTAAGTGTAACGGTGAACCGTGTCGTTCGTTAACACTAACACTACAGTAACACTTGTTTATATTATATTTATAATAACATTAACAGTAATACTATTACTATTAGTAATGTAATATATTATTTTTAATTAATTTGCTTTTAGAAGGTATCGTAATAATCTAAAAGTAAAAGTGCATTTAGTTCAAAAGTTTATATATAACTTCAGGTCAACGTAACTTGTAGTGTTGAGTGTTGTTACTTGTAGTTGTAAACTTGTAAGTTGTAATTTGTATCCAGTGGAAGCAGGGGAGCAATTTTTATGCCAATTTGATCCAATCGTAGTACAATATAACATATAAATATGAAATATGATCAAGACAGAGCATGATAAAATGAAAAGGCAGCACTAGTGCCTAATATATATATTTAGGCTTTATCCCCATATTTGTCATGCATGAACAAGTGGTTAAACTTGTTTACATTCAGATTTTGTTATTTAGAATAGAAGCATTAACAATTTGGTGTTACAGCATAAAAACAATAATGAAACTACAGATAGGGGAAGAGGCTCAGGCATCTTTTACTGGCACTGATTGAGTTACAAGTTTAACAATGTATTCTTTGGAACAGTTGGATTAGTGGGTTGTCTCGAGAACTTATTAGATTCATTAATGACCTGTTTCACCTTTTCAACATATGCTAAAGTAAATTTGTCTAAAGTAAATATTGCTTCCTCTATCTAGTTTTAAGATGACAACCTCCTTGTCAGTTTTAATGATTTTGAAATGTTTACTCCCAAAACAACAGGAATGTAGGCATGACAAGCCAATGCAATGGATATAAGTTTGACATTTCTAAATGCCTCACCACTTGCTCAATACATTTTAAAACTTTCTGTGACTCAAATATGTTTGTGTAATCATGAAGTTCAAGTAAACTTTAATCCCCTAGTTATTTCTTCTATCTTTGTAAGTGTATTCTTGGATAGCTTGGTAATGACTTTCTCTATATTGGGTTTATCTAAGAAATTTTCCACTCTGTTGTTTTGTAGACCTTTGTAATTTACTGAGATGATTTAGTCTACTTATCTTTACTTTGATTAGGTGATTTTCAATAAAGGAAATCAAATATGCAAAATCAACACAGCTAACACATGTTCTTTGTATAAAGATATTTTTAAGCTTTGTTTACAAGATATTTCACTTGTCAGAAATTTGCATTGTGTCTTCTGATAGTTTGTACTGTTCTTGTGTTTGATGTTAGCTGTTTTAAAGTTAAGGAACTTTGGAAAGGATTAAAAGTTTTATAGCCCCATAGGAAGGAGATATAACATTTACATCTTTGTAGTTTAATACATGTTCTTTCTAACTTATGAAACATGCCAAGGGTTTGAACCTTGTATCTTTTTATTTAATTTTTTTGAGACAGTAGAAACAGCTTTTTGTTTAAGAAATATCCATAAAATTGAAGCTATGGACACTAAAATGAATGACAGACTACATTTATATGAAATAAAAGTTTGCAACTCTTTAAAAAAGACAATGTCAAGGTGAGTATTTAAGCAATTACACAACATTGGGGAAAACTCCTTGCAATAAAAAATGTAATACTCATAAACATGAGGCATTCAGTGCATCTCTATCATGTAAAAGTGAAAGCCTAAATTTAATAAATTATACTTAGTTATTGTCAAACATTTCATGGAAACAAATCTAAAAATTGTGTGTAAAATAACTTGCTCCAAAATTTGAAAATGGTGAATTTTAACATATTTTATGAAAAACAAACCAATAATTAACTGTATGCTACTGTGAAACTATATAACATAATGGCAATACATGGAAACTATATATATATATATATATATATATATATATATATATATATATAT